TCGAAGTCTTATAATAAGAATTATAAATCGTAAAGATTTAATCGCGGTAATCTTATTATACTTTCTATAAAGAATTTAAAATAAAAGAAACTAAGTAAAAGCTTTCTAATAAGCTAATTAATTCTTTTATATTTAAAGTATATTAAAACGCAAGCGTATCGACTATAGCTATCATCACCTATTAAATTTACTCTATTTTTTATATATTATTACTAAAATTATATAAATAAAGACTTAAAGATCTAGATATCTCTAAGTATTCTATTTCTAAACTAATAAAGATAACGAAGAGTATTTAATAAAATTCATATATAAAAAGTATATAAGAAGAGTAAGATAAAATATCTTATTCGATAGAAAGATTATCTTAAGAAGTATAATAAATAGCTTAATAAAGAAGTTATAGAAAATATATAAGATCTAATTAACGAGTTTAATAAAGTATAACTTATAGATATTAAAAGCGTAAAGTATAAATATCGAAAAAGGGCTTAAAGGCTAATAATTTCAAAAATATCTAAAGATAAAGAATTTAGCTATAAAGAGTCGAATCTCGAGTATTATAATAAAAATAATATTAAAAAACTAATAAAAAGTATTAATATTCGAAGATAATAAAGAAAAGATTATATTATTAGAAGTAATAGATATCGTAATATAAGATATATATAAATAAAATAATAGGCTAATTAAACCCCTTAAAGATCTTATCGAAGCTATCGTTATCGATATTATTACTATTAAGATTACTATCTAAACCGCCCTTATAAATAAACCTCACCTTATTATCTATCTTATTATCCTTATCATTATTCTCCCTTCTTCTTTCTCTTTATTCTCCTCTTCTTCTTTATCTTTACTATTATTCATCTCGCTTCTATTATTATTACTCTCGAAATTCGAGCTCGACTTAGAGACCGCGAGAGATATATTTATTAACGAAAAATTAGCTTAAAATATAGTTAGTATAGATACGAATAATAAGAAATAAATATAAGAAGTATAAGTATATATAACAAGTAAAGGCCCATGAATTAAATTCATGAAGTTGGATTTTTCTAAGTTAAATCGAACTCTAATCGCTTACTATGCGTTTTTGACCTACTTCCACCACTATAAAATTGATTTAATCTATATAATATATAGGCACATATATGCGGAGAGAGGCGCGCTAAGATCTAATTAGGAAGGTATATCGAGTGTAAAGGATTAATCCGTAATAATTGCCCACAAAAAACAGAGAAAGGCCATATTCTTATGGCAAGAAGTATCGAAATACTAAAAAGAAATGGAGACAACGTGCCAATTAGTGGTGTGAATCCCACAATATCTCCTGCCGCAGGGAAATTTTTCGAATAATGAAATAGCTGTAGACATCGGACGGTTTCATTTATTCAAATATATATCGTCCGATATTTCTTCTATAGAGGCCGTAGTGATATACTATATTAATGTAGTAGGGATGATAGGCCAAGTTGCAGTGATGTTCTCCGCTTACTAAGTGATGATTTGATGTGGAACCGTGGAGAACATATGACGTGGGATCTTGGAGAGCTGAGCCGTGTTCTTGACGATGGTGGTCTTATTGCCGCTTGGTTTCCGCAGTGTTCTTTTAGTGTTCTCCGCAGTGTTCTCGATTTGCCTTTTAGTTCCTCCTCTTACTCCTTAATATAGTGGAGATGACAGGCTAAGTTGCAGTGGTGTTCTCCGCTTACTAAGTGATGATTTGATGTGGAACCATAGAGGCATATGACGTGGGATCTTGGAGAGCTGAGCCTGTTCTTGGTGCTGGGGGCCTTGTTGCCGCTTGGTTTCTCCGTAGTGTTCTCCGCATTCGCCTGTTGTAGATCCTCCTCTTGCTCTCCTCTTGTAGAGTATCAGACTGAGTAGCTAGCTGAGTGGCTGACTGAGTGGATAACTGATGTGACGTGGGATCTTGGAGAGCTGAGCCGTGTTCTTGACGATGGTGGCCTTATTGCCGCTTGGTTTCTCCGCAGTGTTCTCCATAGTGTTCTCCGCGTGTTCTCCGCATTTGCCTGTTGTAGTTCCTCCTCTTACTCCTTAATGCAGTGGGGATGACGGCTAAATTGCAGTGGTGTTCTCCGCTTGCTGAGTGATGATTTGATGTGGAACCGTGGAGAGCATATAACGTGGGATCTTGGAGGCTGAGCCGTGTTTTTGACGATGGTGGCCTTGTTGCCGCTTGGTTTTCCGCAGTGTTCTCCGCATTTGCCTGTTGTAGTTCCTCCTCTTGCTTCTCCTCTTGTAGAGTATTAGACTAAGTAGTTAGCTGAGTGGCTGACTGAGTAGATTACTGAGCTGATAGGGTAGGTAGTATTAATTAAGCGGCTAATCGAGTAGTATATAGGGGAGGACGATGACTGTAAATCCGTTCAGCTCTTTTGAGGGCTTTCTAACGCGTTTATAAGTAGTAGTAGGTAGCTATTGGGCTCGCTTGCGGCCTCGATTGCTAGCAATAACGGATTCGCGTTAGTAGAGGCTCTAAGAGGCGGGCAAAGGGGTGTACGTGCCTAAAGCGTTTAGTAACGTTTCGCAGGGGTACGAGAACGATTTGTTTATATTGGTGGAATTGATAGAATTGATAGAGTGGTGGAAGAATAATAATTACACAAACAAACAAATAGGTGGAAGGATTATTATTCGATCTCGGACGCGTCTGGTGTGGCTATTATAACTATCATATTTAAATATTTATTTCATCTATCAATAGTAAGCTAAACTTCATTATTTTTACAGCGTTAGAAAGCGTAAACTGAGCTCTATAATTTACGAATTATAAAGAATAGTATTTATAGGAAGCTGGTTATTTCAGAGTGTAAAACTTCTATATCAAATTTTTGATAAGGGAGCTTGGGAGGGCTAGCGGGCTGACTTGCCGGTCTAACTAAAGAGCGTAGTGACCCTGAATTTATAATTGGCTGCACATACTTGCAATCCAGGAATGAGTTCCCACGCTAAAATTTAGGTCTGGCAGGGTCTCCCAATATCTATGTTTATTCTATTATTTACTCCATAATCCAGCTATATTATATATTCATGGCTCACGACATCGAAATTAGTCTAGAGCTTAGAGTAGCTGTAGCTCCTGTAGACTACTGTATTGGAAAGTTTTAATGCATTGAGCGACAGCACGGGGGGAAATAAAAATTTCTCCCCCCCCTTAAGCAAAGAAAAAATTAAAGAGGCAAAAAAAAAAAATTTTTAAAATAATATAAATAAAAAAAAAAAACCCCCTTCGCCCGCGGGGACCAAAAAAAAAAAAAAAAAAAAAAAAAAAAAAAAAAAAAAAAAAGAAAAAACAAGCTCCCCCCCCCACCCCCCCCCCCCCCTTTTTAAAAAAAAAAATTTTTTTTTTATTTTTTTGAGAAAAAAAAATAAATTTTTTTTTCTTCTTTTTGGTTTTATTTTAGAAAAAAAAAAAATTAAAAAAAAAAAAAAAAAAAAAAAATATATAACCTCCCACCCCATTTTTTTATTATAAAAAAAAATAAAAAAAAAAAAAAAAATAAAAAAAAAAAAAAAAAAAAAAAAAAAAAAAAAAAAATAAAAAAAAAAAAAAAAAAAAAAAAAAAAATAAAAAAAAAAAAAAAAAAAAAAAAAAAAAAAAAAAAAAAAAAAAAAAAAAAAAAAAAAAAAAAAAAAAAAAAAAAAAAAAAAAAAAAAAAAAAAAAAAAAAAAAAAAAAAAAAAAAAAAAAAATAAAAAAAAAAAAAAAGGATTAATAATTTCATAACCCACCTCACCTCCACGTGGGGTTGGGGGAAGGTTGGGTGAGGAAAAAAAAAAAAAAAAAACAAAAAAACCCCCCTCCTCTACTTAAAATAATTTTTAAAAAAAAAAAAAAAAAAAAAAAAAAAAAAAAAAAAAAAATAAAAAAAAAAAAAAAAAAAAAAAAAAAAAAAAAAAAAAAAAAACATAATTGACAAAATTACCAGCAAGTCTTGTCAGACTGACGGATTGTGGCTTGAACATGAGCGGAGCGAGCCCTGCCCGAGCTTTTTAGGGATGCGATTAAGAGAAATCAGGCCACAACTTATAGCGCAGAACCGCCGACGTATCGGGAGCGCGTCTGTAGGTTCGCAGGGTACGGAGTAGAAGGGCCCTCGACAAACAGGAGGAAAGGGCGCTCGATGGGGGCTGCGGTGAGTGCTGGGAGTGCTGGGACTGAGGTTGAATGCATCTCCTAGTCTTATCGATTCGTACAATGTGCAACCACCGGAGTAGACCATGGGACGCCGAACTTACCGCTTCGTTCGACCTGGAGGACTTTGTTCTTTTACGCTGATAGAGCTCGACATGTTAGTCCTTGTCAAAGCCTGTCTATCGGGTATCGGATCCGTCAGGTCTGGTTCAATCATGTGGAAGCAAGATATTCACCGGGCAACGCCCCATTGGATGTTAGCCTAGGGCCGAGGATATGGTAGGCTGTACACTACCCTCAAATGTTCCGCTGATGCAGGTGTCTGTGAGCCGAAGCTCAGCGCTAAGACGTGGCGTTTCTTTGCAGCCTTATAGAGATCGATTTCAACATACATTCTTTGAGGTTCTGCTGTATCTTCATTGCACTTTCGACCCCGTCGTGGTTATTCAATGATTTATGGCCAACGTCTTTCTTTCAGAAGCCTTCCATATCCATCGTTGGTATAATCGAAAAAACGAGGGAAAGAGCGATGGTATAGAGGAAAGAGTGCTCCTGGTGTGTAGAGCTGTCAGGATTTGGGGGCGGTTTCAGCCTGGCCGTGCAAAAGCTGCATCGAATCAGCTTTCGCATTCTTAGACCCACAAGGCTGCAATGGATGCTTCAAAAATTGTTCATTGGTCAGGGAAAGACAGGCTTTGTCGATGGATGGCTCGATTCGTCATCAAGGCTAATCAGTCCTACACACACTATAAGTATGACCATTTCCCCTTTCTCAACCCTCCGGCCTATTCACCTTCATAAATCATACCTGCATTTGTGGTCTCAAGTATCTCTGCACCATGGCAGCTCCTACGTGGCCGCTATTTCTCCCGTACGTGGAGCAACGCCCCGTCGCATCCTTTCTTGAATACTATCCCAGCTCGAGTGCCAGTCAAATACCTCCTTTTGCTAGCATTTCTAGGCTACTAGGAGAGAGCGCGAACCCCGAGAAAGAAGCCGGAATCAGGAATGAAACAATACTGATCAACGATTTTCTCTTTCTGAAGAGCAGTCATGCGAAACGCTACGATGATGTCTTTCTGGATCAACCAACACAAGAGCCTCAACCGCCTGCTCAGTTTGGTGCGACTCTATCTCTGAGACGCAAGCCACTCGTCTCAAAGGCTCCCCAGGCTAGTGAAAATATCGCATCAGTGACAATAGCTGATTCTGCCGACGCTGAGGCTCTCACACCCACTTCAAACCAGTATAAGAAGCCGATCAACAGCCATTCGTATAGGAAAGATGAAATCTATGGCTCAGTTAGCACAGTATATTGTCAGTGTGATCCGCGTCTGCCGGCTAGGCGTTCCTGGCGTTTTGTGACCAGAAACGAAGAGGAGAGTCTCGGAAAACTATATTACGAATGCCCAAAAGTAGAAGCACGCTGCAACTTCTTACTGTGGGAAGACGACGCCGAAGATCGAGGATCAATCAGCAGCTTCCCATTGAAGGAACCCTCCGCTGAAGGCGCCCTAAATAGCACCCATACCGAACCTCCACCATCTCGCCCTTCTCGTGCGCCTAGTGAGCCACCTCAGTATGATTTGGCTACAACACAGATATCCGGCGCTTTCAAGCATGGCGGTTCAGATGGCACAACGTCCTACATTCTGCCCAAATGTTCCTCTAATCTGCACACATCTCCAGTTCGTGGTAATGATGAGCACACGAATCAAGGTTTCTCCAGACGGTCAAATTTAAACACCCAGCCATTCGATCTTGCTGGCAGAAAGACTGTGAATAGAGAGAATATCGCTACATGCTGCCGCCAGGAAGAGAGCAGCCTACAAAGGGGGACCCCTGAAGGCGGCACTGACAGCACTAATTTGCTTCTCCCGACTGCTGAAAAGAGTCCAAAGGACGATACCAAGATTACAAACTCTCACCAGGTAGGTTGTAGACCTGACAGCGGTAATCAGATCACTCCTACCAAGAAACGCAAGCTTCGATCTTTCATGGATGGGTATAGTTGGAAAGACGCGTCCCAAGTATCAAACTTGATGAACAAATGGACCGATGCCGAAATCTTGGATCCTTTCAACCTGGAGTTATCTCGCAAAGAAGCGCACGCGATGCTGGATCGTTTATTTGACCTTAAACTCTTCATTAAGGATGTAAGATCCAGCCTTCGTGATCTCAGTTCGCAAGTAGGTGAACTTCAACGCAGCTACACTAAGACAAGGTCCTTAATTGAACTGGGAGTCAAAGAGGATTCATTCACTGCTATCCCTAGCCACGGTACATCGATAGAAGGAGTGAAGGACACCGGCCTTCAAGATGTACAAGCTCCAGTGAAGCCAAAAAATGACAAAGAGCACACCACGAGTCTGTCTCCCATATTCAACCTCGAGAAAATCACAATACCATTGCGGGGCAGGGGTACAGATGCCTCAAGCGAAGACCTGTTGTTGCAGCCCATCGTCTCGACGTTCATGTCGCTGGACGAACGGTCACCTCTACGCAAGCTCGCTCCCTACGATCTATGTCAATCGAGCACCTCATACGCAAACCGATTCATAGAAAATGCGCTCTTGTATCCTCTTCCTCGCCTTCCTCGGTACACAAGGGGCCTTGAACCTTCTGGTCTAATCTACATGTACTCTATTCAAGGCAGCTTTGGCTTCGTCAAAATCGGCTACACGTCTCGAAAAGTCGAAACCCGGCTTGCAGAGTGGCAAAAGTCGTGCAAACACACCCCGTACCTCATATTTCCGAAAGCCCCAGAGGAGCAACAACAGATCCCCTACGTGCGTCGTGTCGAAGCACTGATCCACGCGGAACTCAGGGATTGCAGAGTCAGAGAGCTGAAGTGCCTCTGCAACGAGATAAACGCAAATGGAGCACAGAAACAACATATTGAATGGTTCAAGGTAGACATAGATCGCGCAAAGGAGGTAGCTATGAGATGGGCGACGTGGATGAGGTCTGACCCTTATGAACAGGTTTCGCCTGGAAATTGGGTGCTCCGAGGTGAGCACAAGGCTAGTCTCAAAGAGCTATCTCGAGCGACACCTAGAACTGAAACTCGTAAAGGTAGCAGTGTGAGCTTGCGGCCATCAATACCGAAGTCCGCCTCTGCTCCTTCCACACCCTATCTTGGGCCTGGGCCCAGGGCTGAGTCTTTAGCTAGACGGTCATTGAGTCCTAAATCATAGGACAGAAAGTTGGGCAAATCACCAAGTCATACCCCAGATTCTTTCATAGTAGTGAACACCAGACCCTGTGGGATTGCCTGTAGGAGAACAAGTTTTAGCACTGATTTGTTTCAAAGGTGCAGAAGGTGAGTTGGAATAAAGCACTCATGATCCTCTCCATCGTCTTCCCTTCTTCTCGACCATAGAAAGCCATTTGTCGAGATGCTTAGTTCATTGTAGTTGTGAAGCGCTATGTCTCCTTCTTGTATGCATCAGGAGGAATCTGTGTACCTAACCATTCGAACGAAGAAAAATATGTTATACCAATACCGGGCTCTCGGATTTGCAGAAGCGCAAGATTTGGAACTTAGGCTTGCCGGTCAACTCTGCTGAATTGAGACTGCAGAATGGGAATGTGAAGATATATGGAAACAGCAAAGGCGCAAGATTGGCACGCCTCTGACACTCAATCTATCGCTCTATGAAAGGTATCAAAGCAGTCATTACTAGCTCAAGGTGAGAGTATTCTCCCACTCAATCCTCCGCGCCTGAGCCCTCTGCTGACTTTCCCCGCATGTCTTCCTCAGCATATGCCACGCCCCGCCGCCCCTGCTAGCCGTGACGACCTCCGTAAAGGCTGCACAATATGACCTCCGCAACACCGACAATCCAGCACCTCATTCCGAACGAGGCCTTTGAGGCGAGGTCGTCCGCAATGCCCTTTCAAGCAAGGGTGTTCCCGCTGCAACATCCTCCGAACCCCTTTCCAATCTCGCTGGTAGAACTTGCCATTGGTGACGCTCGTGTCCGCACACCCGCGCCAGCGAGGGTTCACCCTGCGTCTGAAGTGTCGTTGGAGCTTCTCCACCTTTTCTTGAAAGCAGGAACGGCATTGCCACCTGGTGAAATCGACGTTGCGGCAGGTGCAGGTGGACTCCGGGCGTTTCGCCAGGAGCTCCGCTTCGTGTACTTTGCAGAACCGGACCAGGTGGGATTTGTAGAGGTTGTCCGCGTGTGCACCCATGTGGAAGTAGTCTTTGGTGTCTTGGATGTGGCTCTCGCACACGTAGGGTCTTACGGGTCCGTCGTCTGTCGGGAATTTGACTTGGTCCCACAGAGCATCGGGGAGCCCGCTCCCGTGCCTTCTCTCACACCTTTCACTCAGCGCATTCAGATCTCCGTCACAGAATACCTCGTCGCAGGGTAGAACTTTACCGTCGTACCGGCCCCGTTCGCGCCGACGTTTGTTCGGACAAGGCTTGTTCCATTTGCGGATGTTGACGCCCCAAGGAATCATCTCTGTGCAAGGCTGCGTTGCGCTATCCTGAGTATAATCATAAGGCCTTCGCGCTCGAAAATTGCGTCGAAGGGGATCCGTCAAGGCGTTACTCCCCGCACTTCGAAAGTTGCGACGGAGCAGCTTTTTGAATTTCCTGTGATTGGGTGGGTTGTCGTTGAGGTGTTTGAACATGCAAGTTTCGCATTCGCAATGGCAGTCTATCTTGTAGCTGTTGTTGCACGGGACGTTACACGATCCTGGGTCCGGCATATGTGTCTCATCGCATTCGGAGAGGAGCACTGATCTATTGGAGTCGAGGTCGAGAGGATCCGTACCGTTGCGTTTTCTTCTTCTCTTTTCCCCTTCACTTAATCCGGCTTCGCTATCTTCTTCTTCCTCTTCTTCTTCTTCTTCTCCCCCTCCTCCTCCTCCATCTCCTTCCCATTCTCCAACCAATAGTGGTGCCTCATTAGAAGGTAGCCTCCTGAGCCCATCTCCATCTGTAAACTGCAATTCTGGTTCTTCTCCACCAAAAATCTCGCCGATGTCCGATTCATCGTCCTCCGTGTCTGTTGCCATGTTCGACAATTTTAGTGGAGAAGGTTGGACGATAGAACAGCCCTGTAGCGTATGGCTATGCTGGACGGTGAGTCCAAGCAAGATGTCTAAGACGTGAAAGCTTGCCGGTCGGATTGCGCGAAAGTAATTGAAGATGGATAACAATTGCTCGCGAAAATTTATGTATTCACAAAAAGCGCGCAAAACGCAAGCTTTGATGAATGAGCTAGGAGATGGCCCGTATCCGGCCGGTCAAGGATTCACATAATGAAAGGCTTTGGGATTCACAAAGTGAAGCAAAGGTGAGAAATGCAAGTACAAGTCTCATCTCCGGATCCGGTCAGACGCAAATCGTGGGCAACAAAGCAATTCACAGCAACAGAAACTGAATGATGCGCGAGTGAAGCCACCTTGGATGCGGACTGGAGTGAATAAAGGATATGACCTACTGAAGCCAGGCAGAGAACATCCAATACTGCTTCACAAGTTGTTTCGGCTTCATCGTCCGTGCCACGCAGCAGCCAGCAGATGGTGGAAGACTTTGTCCAGCTGCACAGCAATGCTAACTTAGAAGATCAAGCGCCTCTACGGTCTTCGACATTATTCACCAGATCGCTTTCTGCAACTGCGTCCTTGACGGCACGAATTCGTAATCTGACAGGTCTGAGATTCTGTCAGCAGGGACCGTTGAGCGCCGTGACCAACTCACTAGGCCTCACTGCGAGCCATGATCTCCTAGGGACGTTTTATCCAATCCACTATCCAGTCCACGACCGTCATCTTTTGAAGATTCGGAGCGACGTTGTACGGTCTATGGAACAAAGATCCTCGACTTTGTATGAATCCACCCTTCAATCTTCCGCTTTCTCGCTCTCCCCGCGTTCCCTCCATCCTTTTCCCTCTCTATCCGCTTTACAGCCTAAACAGTGATACCACTCGACTATAAAACTTCACGCCGTTCCCGCCTCCTGATATACCCCATGAGCATAAATATTAAGTGAATCTGGGTGGGGAACGGTAGTATTGAGACCAGTACCATACTCATATAGATACTAGTGAAGCTGTCCTCCGGCCCGCTAGATACCTGGCTGGGCAGGAAGGTATGTGTGTATCAAGATGTCCTAGGCACTGACTGCTAAGTCCTCGAATTCGACGTGTTGTTCCAGGTATGTGTTGGACTCGTGAGGGCGAAGAAACACGTGGTTGAAGACGCCTGTAACTGAATTCTGGGAATGTACGTTTCAATGGTGTCGACTTCATCGTTTAATGAAAGGTTAAGCCGCTCATCAGAGATAACAACTTATTTCTCACGTTGCCAGTCTGGCTTAAGTGGGTCACTGGCAATAGGTACGATAGTTGGCCTGGAGAACGAGACAATCGTGAGCACCTTTTTGGCGACGGGTCCTGGCGAGGTCTGGAGATTTTACGATTTCTCGAATGCTGCTTGTTTGATGAGCGTGTCTACACAATAAACAAGATCCCAGTTTGATAGTACTGAACGGTAAGCCAAGACATTCTCGATTTTCGGCAATATTTACCCCGCCCGAGAATTGCAACATAAAGGCTTAGGCAGAAATGCTGGAAATTATGAGCAGAATATATTGGAATTTCCCGTGAGCCATTTACTTATTTCGGGAGTTCGTAAAGATCCTGTAACCATTCATCACACTATCATACCTCCAGGCTCTTGAGAATCTTTAGTATCAAATATTTCCTGAATAACTGAATTGAGTGTTTATCAAGTGCACTGACCTCTGGCATACCACTCGATTTGCTCGCACGACAATGGAAACGTCCGGCGCAACGCGTTTCGACATGACGGCTCTCCTCCACGACCTGCCTACCAACCGGGAAGCTCCACCAGTACCCCGACACTCTGCCATGTCCCGAGCGAGAGAAGAATATAAGAGGAAGAACGAAAATCTAATGTTTCATCGAAGGATTCAGAGATATAGAATGAAGGGCCGGAAACGAAGATTCGCCATTTTCCGGGTATTGCCCACCGAGATCATCGTGCTCGTGATGTGTCATACCAGGAGCGCCGATCTTGCAAATCTGATCCAGACCGACAAGTCCATGGATGAAATATTCCAAAATCATAAAATGTGGCTTTTCAAGCGGATGCAGATTTGCCAATTCTCAGAGTTCTCCGGATGGTTTGGAGACATGCCCGGATTCGATGGGCCAATACTGGGTAACAGTCGGACCTCCGAGCAAATCCAGTGTCTCAAAGACGTCGTATTCACTTTCGATTGGCGAATTATGGAGGTAGCGCCCAGTGATGATGAAGCTGCCAAGGTGTTTTTGCACCTACTGGAACGATATGGCGGATGGCGATATCTCTACTTCTTGAATGCGGTAAAACGTCACATGGAACAAGAAGCGCAGAATCTATACAAATTTTCGCATATGGCAATACCTTCTATGAACGAAGGGTCGGCCAAGGCAATGGTATTGTGCTTTGCCAGAATGTCATGGAGGGCAGCAACAGTTCTAGGTGGCGAGATGAAGGAGCCGGCAGATATGTCCGCAAGAGTGGAGTACCGACTCAAATTCTTCCAGCGGGAGCCGCGAACCCTTCAAAAGCTGATGACAAAAATCCTGCGACTCCTGATATATCGCATAGGAAACCGGCTGCAAGTGACAGACACTGTAACATTGTATCAGTATATACATCGATCAGCAGGGTTTGGAATTCTGATACCTGTGCCGTCAGAGGAAGAACTTTATGATTCGGCATCAGCAATAATGACTCGATTGCTTTTAGAGTGCTGCTTCTTTTATGGGATCACATTTGCAATGCAGCTGTGTGAGGAGCCAGTAAATGATGAAGTCAAGGCAGCCCAGTCATGGATCATACGACGCTTTGAGCATGCTTTGATGTACGCTACCAGATTCAGTAGTGTTGATACTGTTCTGATCGAGGACTCATCTATCCGAGAGGGATCGTTATGGGCTGCAGGCATCGGGTTTCCAACCCTTGGCTGGTTCAGAAGCAACAAAGCATCGGCCGGCGGAGTCATGTTGGCAGTCGAGCACGATGGAATGAGATCAGGCTGCCTCTGTTGCTGTATCAAGCAAGCTGATGTCCTCCTCGTTCGCTAAGATCCTTAAGGGGACAGACACCACTTAGTGATTAAGCTGTCACATAAGGATGATACTTGGCTCGTAGCGAAGACACTGT